ACCAAACACATACCAACAGCTTCAATAAATGTTATCTCTTGTTGCCAACCAAACACATACCAACAGCTTCAATACATGTTATCTCTTGTTGCCAACCAAACACATACCAACAGCTTCAACAAATGTTATCTCTTGTGGCCAACCAAACACATACCAACAGCTTCAATACATGTTATCTCTTGTTACCAACCAAACACATACCAACAGCTTCAATGCATGTTATCTCTTGTTGCCAACCAAACACATACCAACAGCTTCAATACATGTTATCTCTTGTTACCAACCAAACACATACCAACAGCTTCAATATATGTTATCTCTTGTTGCCAACCAAACACATACCAACAGCTTCAATACATGTTAGCTCTTGTTGTCAACCAAACACATACCAACAGCTTCAATACATGTTATCTCTTGTTACCAACCAAACACATTCCAACAGCTTCAATACATGTTAGCTCTTGTTGTCAACCAAACACATACCAACAGCTTCAATACATGTTATCTCTTGTTGTCAACCAAACACATACCAACAGCTTCAATACATGTTATCTCTTGTTGTCAACCAAACACATACCAACAGCTTCAATACATGTTAGCTCTTGTTGTCAACCAAACACATACCAACAGCTTCAATACATGTTAGCTCTTGTTGTCAACCAAACCCATACCAAAAGCTTCAATACATGTTATCTCTTGTTGTCAACCAAACCCATACCAACAGCTTCAATACATGTTATCTCTTGTTGTCAACCAAACACATACCAACAGCTTCAATACATGTTAGCTCTTGTTGTCAACCAAACACATACCAACAGCTTCAATACATGTTATCTCTTGTTGTCAACCAAACACATACCAACAGCTTCAATACATGTTAGCTCTTGTTGTCAACCAAACACATACCAACAGCTTCAATACATGTTAGCTCTTGTTGTCAACCAAACCCATACCAACAGCTTCAATACATGTTAGCTCTTGTTGTCAACCAAACACATACCAACAGCTTCAATACATGTTAGCTCTTGTTGCCAACCAAACACATACCAACAGCTTCAATACATGTTAGCTCTTGTTGTCAACCAAACCCATACAAACAGCTTCAATACATGTTATCTCTTGTTGTCAACCAAACCCATACCAAAAGCTTCAATACATGTTATCTCTTGTTGTCAACCAAACACATACCAACAGCTTCAATACATGTTATCTCTTGTTGTCAACCAAACACATACCAACAGCTTCAATACATGTTAGCTCTTGTTGTCAACCAAACACATACCAACAGCTTCAATACATGTTATCTCTTGTTGCCAACCAAACACATACCAACAGCTTCAATACATGTTATCTCTTGTTGCCAACCAAACACATACCAACAGCTTCAATACATGTTATCTCTTGTTGCCAACCAAACACATACCAACAGCTTCAATACATGTTATCTCTTGTTGCCAACCAAACACATACCAACAGTTTCAATACATGTTATCTCTTGTTGCCAACCAAACACATACCAACAGCTTCAATACATGTTATCTCTTGTTGCCAACCAAACACATACCAACAGCTTCAATACATGTTATCTCTTGTTGCCAACCAAACACATACCAACAGCTTCAATACATGTTATCTCTTGTTGTCAACCAAACACATACCAACAGCTTCAATACATGTTAGCTCTTGTTGCCAACCAAACACATACCAACAGCTTCAATACATGTTATCTCTTGTTGTCAACTAAACACATACCAACAGCTTCAATACATGTTATCTCTTGTTGTCAACCAAACACATACCAACAGCTTCAATACATGTTAGCTCTTGTTGTCAACCAAACACATACCAACAGCTTCAATACATGTTATCTCTTGTTGTCAACCAAACACATACCAACAGCTTCAATACATGTTAGCTCTTGTTGTCAACCAAACACATACCAACAGCTTCAATACATGTTAGCTCTTGTTGTCAACCAAACCCATACCAAAAGCTTCAATACATGTTATCTCTTGTTGTCAACCAAACCCATACCAACAGCTTCAATACATGTTATCTCTTGTTGTCAACCAAACACATACCAACAGCTTCAATACATGTTATCTCTTGTTGTCAACCAAACACATACCAACAGCTTCAATACATGTTAGCTCTTGTTGTCAACCAAACACATACCAACAGCTTCAATACATGTTATCTCTTGTTGTCAACCAAACACATACCAACAGCTTCAATACATGTTAGCTCTTGTTGTCAACCAAACACATACCAACAGCTTCAATACATGTTAGCTCTTGTTGTCAACCAAACACATACCAACAGCTTCAATACATGTTAGTTGTCAACCAAACCCATACAAACAGCTTCAATACATGTTATCTCTTGTTGTCAACCAAACCCATACCAAAAGCTTCAATACATGTTATCTCTTGTTGTCAACCAAACACATACCAACAGCTTCAATACATGTTATCTCTTGTTGCCAACCAAACACATACCAACAGCTTCAATACATGTTATCTCTTGTTGCCAACCAAACACATACCAACAGCTTCAATACATGTTATCTCTTGTTGCCAACCAAACACATACCAACAGCTTCAATACATGTCGATCTGCGAAAATTTGATCGAATTTCATCAGACCTCGCATCTCTTGGCTTATTGCCTATTATGGCACACCTGTGCCTTTTACGCACTTCCTGCATCATCCGGAGAGTACTGTCAAAGGAGATACCTCAGTACCTGAAGGTAAGACTGAGAGCTCGCTCTGAGATGCGATCCCGATGCACACGGCAGGATGACATGCTGGAGATGCCCCGTGTGCGCTGTGAGTCCGACCGTTGTGGGTTTTCTTATTTTGCCCCTAAAATCTGGAATATATTGTCATCCAGGACTGAGCCAGGGGTGTTGGACAGTGAAAAGACGTTTAAAAAATACATAACAAATGGCTTGAAGAATGGTAAAATAAAAAGGAATAGAGAAAATATTTTAATTTTTAATTAGCCTAACCTAAGATTTGAAAGTTGCCATTGTTTTATGTTATTTATGTTGACGTGAGTTGTTTTGAAAAACATATGTTGTAATATGAAAAACGCTCAAGAATAAAGACGATTTTCATTTCATTTAATCTCTTGTTGCCAACCTAACACAGACACAGTATAAAAGGACGTAGGACGACAGGATGAAGACAATAAGCGGATGAAGGGCTAGACAGGCGACAGGCAGCATGAGTCAGGCTCTAGGCGTAATTGCCTTCAAGTTCCCATGGACATACTCGAGATAGTAAGTTTGTTTACTATATAAATACGATGTAACAATCAGACAAAAACGCAAGTTTTTGTTAGATGTTTTGTTGTGTGTTAACATCTAAGAGTAAATTTCTCACTATGTCCATAATTTTTGCCAACAAAAACAAAACCGTGACCCCCGCTTACCAGGCATTTGTCTGGGAAACTTTAAGATTTTTTGATGAGCAGAAAACTTCAACGAATTTGTAAATCTTTTTCCATAACATTCTGTGCACAGTGTACACCCCATTCTCAAGTATATAAAGGGCAATTTCAACAATTGAAAATATATTTCCCATATGTTCGTTTTGATTGTGTTTGAGCCAGCAAAACGAAACCCCAATCCACGGTTACTGAACTAGAGTTATGGGCTAAATTAAAGACTGCGTCGACGGACAAATTAAAATAGAAGCGGTAGGGAGTCAGCGGCAATATATGTGAGGTGGCGGTCGCTTATGCAGGAATTCAAGAGGAACCGCGTCCTTGGGGGTAATGAGAGCCTAAGCCCCCCGTCCGTCAACTCCCCCCTTCGCCGCAATGGATTAATCCATTTGTTAAAACATCGAAACGCCGAATTAGTTTTATTCTAAAACTGGTTTTCCCACACTAAAATTGCCAAGGAACGCCAATTGGCTTGCAAATCTGGAATGTAAAACAAGTACTTTCCTCGTGAAAAAGTGCATTTTTTCGCTGAGAGTCGATACATATTAAATGCCCACCATTATGGTAACTGCTGTCATTTAATATGTGGGCGCTCTTCACTGAATGATCAGCCACCTCGGAGATAATGTATGGAAGCGGTCAACTGATCAACAGCTGGCTGTGATCAGATTGTCTATGTGTTGGGAAGTTCGGGAAACTTCTCAGATTGATAGTGAGATCAATTGATTGTATAGGGTTTAGGTCGTCAAACTCCCCATATTGACGTACAGTATTGTGTACAGTACTATGTTTGCAGGATTCCTTGGATTGGTACAATATTTATAAGGTTACACACGCGTGTTACACATTATATTTTTCCTGCAGATACTATAAAATCATCTATATATTAATAGGCAAGCATATTTCTTTAAAACCTTTATTCTCGGCTCGTGTGCATCGCAGGGAAAATCTTCGCATACTGTTGGAAAGATATTTTCCTGTAGAAGTGCAGAATCCCTTCATAAATTAAAAAAAGCTCAAAAATAAGCACAAAAAAAGAATTAAAAATATACAAAAAAATCAACATGGACCTTATAGGTTGCCTTGCTGGTGACGAAAAAACAACGCATGATAAACAGAAAATCAAAACAAATGGAAGTCATTCCAATGACATGTTTTATTTACAGCTTAGGGTGAAAATAGAAAAGTCTGTACATTAAATATTTTTGTCGAGTTTTTTACCACTGGATGACCTCTAGTATAAATAATTAGTCTTTCAAACACAACACGTTTTTAGGTTAGGTTAAATCCAAACATTGAACGAAATAGGAAACGCTGCACCAGCTGATCGTAGTCGTAATATCTTTACAAGTGTTGCCAAAACTTTTTTTAAAGCGTACACGGATTACGCGCACAATAAAAGCACGCTGTTTTGTGTCCTTTGGTTGAAATACTGGAGTGCGCCAAAGCCCACTTTCTCGTGTGTAGGAAAATGAAATTTATTGTATATTTTGGCCAACGTAATTGAATCGACTACGGCCCAAGGTGACCCAAAGGACGAATTTCTGACCTGTCATGTCCACACTCGTCGTCCCTTCACCCTTCTCCTTTCCATACTCATCCTGTGTTGCCCCTGTCCTGTCCTTGCCGTCCTTGATGCCGTTGTCCTTCTCCCCTACTTGCTGCCGCCTGTACGTCGCAATCGTAGTTCTTTCCCAACATCAACTCCAAACTCTGGTCAGCTGACTTCGTTCAACACTTTCCCCCAAACACCGAATCTTTTAGATCCGTTTTCCATTCCAAATCATTATACCCACGTGGCTATACATTTGGATTATATATTCAATTCAGCCTTCATTTAAGGTACATGTACAGCGAAATAATCAATACAGTTATTTGATTCAAACATAAAAAAGACAATGAGTTTGATAGTTCATGTTAGATCATAAGCTCGACATACATAGTTTGTAGTTTTTATTCTACACTGTACAAGGGGTCCCAGAACTCTCGGCCGGTATTATATTATTTCAGGTATTAGGCCTGGGTATTATACAATTCAAAATATCATATTCAAAGTTTCAAAAACTCAAATGTTACTCGTATAGCCACAGTGTTTTCTCTCTGTTATCATGCAAAACCACTGCTAGCGAGCCACGTCAATCAGCTGCTGCTGTTTGCTTATTTACACTGATCAGCTGTTTGAAAAAGTACATTGTTAACACGTGATAATTCCCAGTTAGTTGCTTGTTGTTATAATGCTGCTTAAGTATTTTTGTTCAGTTTGCCCTTATTGATAAAACGGATAATTTTAGTATTGTTGACTATTGTGAAATGCATTTTCTTTATGGAGCTGCTTTTGGAAATGCAAGTGAGGGGAGGAGATTGTATAGTGAATATTTTCCAAACAGACAATGTCCCGGTGCCAAAACATTCTCTGCTGTGCATTTTTGGCAAGCAACATAGTTTTTCCGTTAATGTTCGGACTGGAGTTTTAGAGGATATATTAATCGGCACCTACGTTACATTCTGCCTAGGTTTGTACTCGCCGATATACCTTGTTTTTCTTAGAGAGGTACTCCCTGAGCTCCTGAAGGACGTTCCCTTGACAAACAGAGTTAACATTTGACTGCAACATGACGGTGTTCCTGCTCATTTTGGCAATAATGTGAGCGATTTTCTCAATTTAAATCTCTCAATAATGGACCAGTCTCGTGGTCACAACGGTCACAGATCTCACCATCTTATACATGTTTATGTTCAAGGTAGAATGAAGGAACTTATTTATTCAACAACTGTAGAAAGTGAAATAGGCCTGATCGGTAAAATTGTGGAGGCTACTGTGGTCAGAAAAGAGAAAAATGAATTTGAAGATGTGCGGCAATCGGGTCACAATGTGCAATCCAGTTGGTGGTGGGTACATTAAACATCAATTGTAAATAATATTCGTTAGGCCATAGATTATTACACATTATTTTCTTGGATTTAATCACTTATGTTCAGATTTACTACACCTTTTCTAATTCTATTTCAGAACGTGTCAAGTCTATTTCAGAAAGCATCCATTGTATTTCAGAATTATCATTTTCATTTCAGAAAGTATCATTTGCATTCCAGACTAGTAACTTTTATATCAGAAAACATCAACTGAATTTCAGAAGTAGTCATATGTATTTCAGAAATTGTCACCTATACTTCAGGATTAGTCAAATGTATTTCAGACAAAGTCAATTGTATTTCAGAAATTATCGATTAGACAATTTTACACAGTCGTAGCGGATCTGATTCAAATTCAATTTATAAGAAGCCCAGGGTTAAGTTTAGGTTAATTAGGTTAGCCTAGAAAAGTTTGTCACGTTTTTTTTCCTGATTTGACCAGGGCCTAATGAGATATTTTTCCGAGTTGAATCTCATCCTATGACATAAAAATTATACTAACTAAAGGTTTTTTCTCATAACGAATTCATAGCTAATTCCTAATGCTGATGACAAAGTTGTTAACACAAATTATTTCTGAAATACAATTGATATCTTCTGAAATGCAAATAATCATTTATGGAATATAAATGACCATTTCTGAAATAAAAGTGATGATTTCTGAAATTAAAATTACTATTCTGAAATACAATTGACAATTTCTTAAAATTAAAATCTTACATCTGAAATACAAATTGCCATTTCTGAAATACAAATGACTATTATGAAATACAATTGACCCTTTCTGAAATAAAAGTGGAAAAGGTGTAGTGTCTCACGTAAATAAATGTTTAATTTATGTAACATAAATTGGTTTTTTCTTGTTTATGTTTAATTAATAAAATATTTAAATAATACTAAAACACCAGACTGATTAACAATAAGCAACACATAGGAAGTCATCACATTTTAACAATGCATTGTTTCAAACAGCTGATCAGTGAAAATAAGCATAACAGTACATCTGCCTGTTTATGAGATATCTTATTATAATAGATAGGCCCTATCTATTCCTTTTAGGGTAAAATTTAGAATGCGAACTTTATTACTTTATTGCTGTAATAAATAATACGTTGTGCTCTTATGTGATGGTTGGCTTGCCAATAATAAATCGTCTACATTTAAATACCAATACCCGATGGTGAAGAACTTTTACGTATTATGAACTGTTCTGCTTGATCGTAGTGGTATTAAGTTGTTAACACAGTAAGTAAACATCAAAACGTACTCTACAGAAACTACATAAACAGCACGTCGGTAAATTGGCTTAAACTCATATGAAGGATAAACTGTTTTATATTGGGTTCGTTTTTACTTTATAACTTTTGTCTTGCCTGTCTCCATTAAGTGTCCATAAAGTGTCCTGTTTCTTTTGATTCTAAAGACGGCTTTATCTTTTTGATGTTTAAGAACGTTTAAGAACAAACAACTTGTCGACATTGCAATCATTTAAATTCTGCTGTTTCTTGGTGTCACCTAACTTGTTAATCATCACTTAAAATATCCCGCTATTACAAGCTTGTTTTAAGAATGTTTAAACAGTACAAAAACAAGGACAAATTTTTAACGCTTAATTAATGCATAATTATTTCAGCTATATACGCTGTCATTTATTAAATGATTTGAGATGTTACGACAGCAAAAACAGCAATCAAGCAAATTTGAAAACATGGAAAACTAGTTTTGAGACAGCTAGTTTTTCAGCTCTTCGTTTATTTTCACCATTAAACGGTATGTGTATTGACGGCTCAGCATTCATTATTCAGTGGACTTTTTATGACCGACAGAAACCGTCGACAAAACTTGAAGCGCACTTAAAGTTAACAACATATCAAGATTTACCTTCCAGCGTATAGCGTTTGAGACAGCGGTGCAAGATCTTTGCTTGGATTGCAATTGAATTCTGTAAACCAAATCTATCATAAAACATATCAAAAGATAATATTGCTATACTGAATTTTATATTTAGCTCGACTTAACTTCAACATTACCATATTCCTCCTACATGATTTACGTTAATAAATCATAAAAAATATATATTAATTTGTGATGTAATAGTTATTTGTGTTACTAGTGTGCGAAGTGACACTTTGCTGCACATAAGATAAATGTTTACGTACGATCCGTAGGCGAGTGTGGACAGTTTCTCGAGTGCAGAATAAGACACTTTGCACTCGCGTTACACATTATATCTTTCCTAAAGTTACTATAAACATAGATAAAACACACTCCCTTGTTTGGTTAGTCTATGCTATAAAGCATATAAATAATTAGTCCTTCAAACTCAAAACAACGCAAACACGTTTTATGGTTAGGCAGATCCAAGCGTTGAACGAAATGGGAAACGCTGCACCAGCTGATCGTATTCGTAGTAGTGTTACCAGCCTATTTTCAAGAGAATACGTATTACTTGCCTAATAAAAGCACACTGTTTTGTGTTGTTTGGTTGGAATACTGGAGTGCGGAAAAAGTAAAATGAGTGTGGCAAAAGTAAGTAAAGGTAGCAATTAGCAACAAGTCCACTTAGTCAGGCAACTGTAGGAAAAATATATTTGCGCTACTATATAACATAGAACCAAAATTTTTATTAAATTGATACATACATTAAATCTTTAGATTTTTCTGCAGGAAGTATTTACTTCTTATAGCTATTTAAGGAGATGTGCTTGCTTATTTTTGGGTATTTGACTCAAAAAGCTAAAGATACATTACCAGTTCTGAAGCTTATATCGTAATAATTTATGATTGTATTTGACCATATGTGCTAAAAAGTTAAAGAACTCCACTAAAATTTGATAATTCCTATACAGTACAGGCACGAAACTGATAAAGCAATATGTTGATCAACAATCAGTTTTCGATTCAAGAAAATTAAGGATGCAATTTCAACTTTGGCACCAATAACGAACGTTATCAGCAGTTTCTTCATTGGGAAAGTTCCGAATAGTAGTTTACGCAACGATTGCGTAAAGATAGTGTTAACGACGCGAGTAGAAAATTTAAAGTACGAGCCTTGGCGAGTGCCTTAAAAACTTCTACGAGTGTCCTTAACAATATTTACGCGAGTTGCGTACACTACTTTACCTACGACGGTGTTTTAATTACTAAAAATCACTACTCATAACTTCTAAGAGAGGTTATGTTTTTGTTTATAATCTCTAATTGTCACTGACAGTGACGCAATGAAACATTGTATAAAATACTAATTGCACCAATCAACAATTAAATTGGTCTGAACAGCTGATTAGTTGAATTTCGAATCATTACAATTTTGCTTCTCCTCTCTCAATCATTGAACCTCATTGGTCCGTTACCCGTGTTGTTATGAGTAAAACTATGTTGTTATGAAAGTAAACAATGCTGTTATGAGATACTTTTCAATTCTAAGAACTGTACTGAAACGGCTACTTTAAAAAACGGTCGTAGGTAAAAGCAATATGTTGATCAACAATGAGTTTTCGATTCAAGAAAATTAAGGATGCAATTTCAACTTTGACACCAATAACGAACGTTATCAGCAGTTTCTTCGTTGGGAAAGTTCCTGAAAATTTATAACGCAACATGTTTTCCAAAATACACGCTCACATAAGCAAGAACTACTCAACACCAAGCTACCCCTTTTAATTTAACACGGGTAAAATCTATTCCGCCCCACTTCATCTTACAAAGAGCAGCCCTTTTCGCACAGTATTGAAGGGCCGTGTCGAAGGGTTAACGGATCCTTAGCTAATCGGGCGCAGCCGTTCGCCGTTCAGTGATCAAATCGGGTCGTGGGATCGGGGATGTTCTTTGATTCATCTCCTATTTCCTCGAATCGGATCTGCATAGACCTGCCCTTGCCCTAACGGTCCCCCTCGAGTGGCGTGGCGGAAGTAAGCTACTACTTCACCCCTGACCTACTATCTCATCAACCCTTATTACCACACTAGGGTGGATATAACAACATTGAGCTTGCGTCGTGGGTGCCAGGGGTGACCTTCAATGCCGTATTTATATGTAAATCTAATCCGGGGTAGTTTTTGCATACTTGATTTTGACAGCCGTGTCAGGAAGATGGAAAAGAGGGTTTTGATTGGGAAATACTTAGTTTGTTTTAATTGTAGACTATTGTTTTTTTTTACATCGTTTCTACAAATAAATATTGATGACTAGCAGCGCACGTTGATGCGCTAACAACTATTATTTTAAAGGTTTTTTTTTATAATAAATAATAAATATGTAGTTATACCAAAAACAATAATAGAATAATTACTCTACTTAATTGCCAGTGTATAATACATTTTGTTTGTTTTTTTTTTCATTAGGTGTGTAAATATATAAGTTTTATATAAGTAAACCTAAATTTATTAAAACGAGTTCGCGAACCAGCATGATCGGACTATTGGAACGGGGGTTTTTGGGGGGTTTTATGGTGTAAAAATGGGGGTTTCCCATTTTCACCCTAAAAAAATAATATTTTACAATTTCTTTCCTAACCATTTTGTAGAGCTCAGAAAAACAAATAATTAAGTATATTAAAACGTTGTTGCATGCCTAAACGGTTACGGAAATGATCCAAAAAAGTGTAAATTCAGAATTCCCATGTTATTCTTATACTATAGAATAATAAACTGTTGTAGTTTGCTTGTCCATGGACATATTGTAAAATAATTGGTCAAATTTGTTTACTTCATACTAATCTATCAATATTTCAATACAAAAAACACCTTAATTATTATATTCTTTGTAGTAGCAAACCTAAGTACTCATTAAAATTAATGATATTAAAATAGGAAATAAATCTTACAATTTTAAGGTAATAATTTAGTGGAATTCCAGCCAGGTAAATGGAAATTCGCTTAGTCTGCAGGTTTACTGTGGCGGGGGTATTTATAAATTACTGCCGAAGTCATAACAGAAAAGAAATTTGTAATTTAGTTCGATAAATGATGACCAATAAACTTTGTCAAAAGGTGTCTAAACTTAGAACACAAGGTAGATTTTCATGGTTCAATGTTATCACTTTTTTAACTACCTAAGTTTATATCTGACCTATGAATTTAAGTCGTAGTAGGATAAAGGGTAAAAAAGTTAGGTGGATAAAATGAAAATTAGTTCTATATTAATTTGAAAAAGCTAAATGTTATAAATCGAGATTACTCCCAAGGTACTACATACAGTAAATATTTAATATTTTATATAGCAAAGTTACTATATCTAATTCAAAATTCGGCTTATAAAATTTTACTTTATAGAAGACCAAATTCAGTTTTATTCTCGTATGGTAATACTGTTAAGTTTTAGCGCTATCTTTAGATTACGATAAGACTTTTGACGCACATCCGAGTCCATGGCACATTCTGATAATATTATTCCACCCTTAAAATAAACTGAAAATGGTATTTGATGGCCAACATTTTATCAGGCTTGGGGTGAACTTTTAATAAGTACTGTATAACTAAATAACATTAGTTCTACAGTATCTTATAAAAACTCTGACTCTGATGTTTCAAAGTTGAATAGTCAACTACTATAAACGCGCCTATTCATATCAAATTATAATAATTTATAATACAATTTATCAGTTTTTGTGTCCATTAATGTGTTTCAATATACAGGTGTAAGGTATAAGTCATATCGAACAACAGTTAAGCAATCGAAATACATCAAGGATAATGTTATCCAACCACCATGACATAATTGTAACCATTCTGTAGACCCTGTAGGTTTGTTTAACTCTATGGTATTGTTTTTTTTTTTTTTTTTTTTATAAGATGATTAACTGTAGTATCAAAATCGCACTATTGTTGGGAATAGTTATTTGTGCAACTAGTGAGAAAAGTGAGCAATTATACTTTGAACTCGAGTTGCACATTATACTTTTCCTACAGTTACCATAAAACAAATAAATTAGTGAAGAAACATAACCTATTTTTACACAGAAGTGAACTTTTAATATATAACATTTTACGTGAAGTGACAAATACAACAGTACAACAGCTGACCAGCTGATTTACAGCCAGTGCTGCCAACGTATTTCGCGCGCATACGACGTTGCCTGCATGTTACGCGCTCACTATTTATAGTGCCTTCACGTTGCAAATCTGGAGTGAGACAAAGTAATTAGAGTGAGACAATGTTACTTTGCATCAACACGAAAAATATGAAAACTGTTCTTTCAAAATGTTGATTGTTCAGAGTCTGTGAAATTGAAATTATAATAGATATGATAATACAATACTCACCCTCACGTAGATCTAAGCCATCCAAGGCCTAGACACCAAACAAAGCCCATTCACGGACGCAGGTCATGTTAATTTCGTAATCACCGTCTCGCAGAGACACCAGGAACAGATAATAGAAACACGCATGAGGGTTAATTCAAAGCGAATTACAGGCGCAATGAATGGATGAAGTAGTACGGGTGAAAGGGAGTTGTTTTGTCGGTGGTGAATGGGGCGCCGTCTTTATCCTGCATCCGGGGACCACCCCCAACACCGGCGTTCCCACCAGAGTTTCGCAACTGAAGGAACGCGAGACTGCGGACCATCCGTCAACATCTCCGGAACATCGGAACTGAACTGACTGATGCTTCCTCTGAGGAAATGTCCGAGAGATTGGAGGGAAAGTCCAGGATTGGCTGTAAATACGTTCTCCGCGACACAACAGGAGACACAGCATGGGTTAGACAGGGTTGATTGAAGAGGTGGAAAAATAGGAATAGGAGTATTGGAAAAAAATGATTTTCTGGGAAAGTATTTGAACGAAAAGATGCAGAAAATGGTCTTCCTGGTGATGTTACTGACATAAATAATGGAGATTCAAGATGAGTTTGGTTGGAGAAAAGGACTTTCATAGTTTTGTGCAAGAAGCAAAATTAAATTTTATAATGTTGGTTTTACTGCAAAATGCCATACTCCAGATGTTTATAACTTTTGTCGGTTTTCATTGTTGAGTTCGTCTAAACAATAATAGTCAGTAATGTTATCAACATGGAGAATAAATTGAAAGCTCTAGATTTTCTGCTGTTCGCTGTTCTTTTAAAATACAGGCAAAAGAAATAATGGAGTAATTAAATTAGCTCTATTGGCTAAAAAGATCTTCCTCTATCTTGTATCTGTACGAAAAGGTGGAAAAATGCGAGTGCTCTTGGAGGACAGGACAATTTCTGAACAAGGATTCGAAAGAAATGGCGGAGATCAAGATGAAAAAAATGAAAAATTCTTTATTTTACCAGGCAAAGTTAGGGCCACATGGCCCTCTCTGACACTTAACCTGACAAACTTAATTATAAATAAATAAAAATACAATGCAATTTCTTAATCTAATATAAATATACATATTTAACACATCAAGCAAAAATTCAACTTATTTAACTAATTTACTAATTAAAAAAAAATAGTAATTATTATAAATAGAATATACAAAAGAAAACACACACACACACACACTCATACGCACCAGCAATCGCGCAAAGACGCAGAAGCCCTAGGACACGCCAGCCGAGACCATTTGCTCAAAGTAGAGATTTTTTATAGTGCCGCCACAAACTGGGAACGTTTATCAAGGGATTTAATGTGTAGGGGTAGGCTGTTCCAAAGACGGTAAGCGGTAACAACAAAAGCCCTGTCATAAGCGGTGGTCACATGATGAGGTATACGCAATGTGATCGAAGAAGAACGAGAAATTCGTGAACTACCCTGAGACACAAATTTAAAATCTGATGTAAAATATTTCGGGGAGCCTGATTTCAAAATTAAAAAGACTAATGACAAAATTTTGACGGATCCTTTGATAATTTAGTTTCAAGATGTTTGCCTCAAGGTAGTATGGCGTGATATGCTCCTCACGCCAAGATGAGTTGTACTGGAGCAAAGGACTGTCCTGAACATGTATTTCATCAAACAAAATGGAGAAACAAGATGAGATGTATTTGTGTAAAAATATAATGAATAAAGATGAGCTGTGTCAGAGAAAAAAAACTTCTTAGACATGTAACTGACATTGTGCTGGTTTGTCCAACTTTTATATCTCGACCGCCAAGGAAATTCAGTGGCGGTACCAGGATTTCATTTGGAGGGGGATTACTACCGGGAGTGTGGGGGTATTGAATCCCCCAGAAAAACGGGGTCCGGGGCCTCCCTGCCAAAAATGTGGGATTTAAAGCCTAAAAACGTATTTTTATACGCATTTAAGCTTTAAAGCTTGTTCCAGCTAATAGTATTTATGTTAGCTAATAAAATATAAAATATTTCGGGGGGATATATCCCTCCCATCCCCCAGGGACCACCACTGGAAACCTAGCCAATTTCCAGTAAAAAAAATGATAAGGTAACCACTTCAAGAGATCAAAGAAAGTGTTCAGAAATGATAGGTTGGTAGATAAAAATGCCCCATAGTACCGGTTGTGCCTCACTACTTTTACAATGTAGGTTAAACTAAAAGAGTAGGCCTACAATATAGAACAAGTGGGTTGATTGTGAAAGAGAACGTATTTATCAATATTATAACCAAGTATTTAAACATTTAAGCCATTCCCCAGACATAGAAGGAGAAGCAATTAAAGGGCAGAAGACTGAGGTGCGCTGGCCATGTATTGAGAAGGGAAGATGACAGAATATTAAAAGAAGTTTGAAGACAAAGCCCAGCAGGAAGAAGACCTCGGAGAAGACTGAAGAATCGATGGAAGGACCAGGTGGAGAAAGATTTGCAAAAATTGAGAGCAAGGAAAGAAGATTCAGAGAACAGGGAGAGATGGAGGCAACTTGTTGGCGAGGCCAAATACCACCTAGTGTATCAATGGCCATGGGATTAAGAGTAAGTTGGCCATACAAGTTAAATTTACTCAACTTAAATTTTACTTCATAGTAAAATATTCTAAACAAGTAGATATAAACATTAGTCAGTAATAGATAACACATGAGAAACCTCTTTCTAAGCTAACTTTTTTACGAATACCAAGCTGAAAATGTAGGCCTATGCATCGTTTTGATGAAGTAGGTAGCCAAATTAAGCTATCGCAATGAAGGTCATTAGACGTTTTTGTAATTTCCTCCGCCAGTTATAGTTGTCGATTACCGGTGGTTCCACGGCCGACCGCAGACGGAGCTTGGAGCTCATTACGTCTTATTTGCTGATAGCGTCAACCTCGCCGTGGCGGGCCGACCACTCAAAGCTATTTCCGTTGCAGACGCCAAAATGCCTCTAAGCTATACGGTCAAACGGAGTTTAAGCTAATTGGTACTCTAGGTGTGTTTGCGATGGTATTGCCTTGGCAACTTTTAGGTCATCGGCAGAGTTGTTGTGACGAATCATAGGTCCAGGCTCCCTAAGCTATAAGGCCAAACGGAGTTTAAGCTAATTGGTACGCTTGGTGTGTTTGCGATGGTATTGCCTTGGCAACTTTTAGGTCATCGTCAGAGTTGTTGTGACGAATCATAGGCTCTCTAAGCTATAAGGTCAAACGGAGTTTAAGCTAATTGGTACTCTTGGTGTGTTTGCGATGGTATTGCCATGGCAACTTTCATTAATTAATGTGTCCTTATGTCACATCTGAGTTTTGACGAATCATAAGCTCTCTAAGCTATAAGGCCAAACGGAGTTTAAGCTAATTGGTAACCTTGGTGTGTTTGCAATGGTATTGCGTTGGCAACTTTCATAAATTAATGTGTTCTTATATCACATCGAGTTGTGACGAATCATAAGATCTCTAAGCTATAAGGCCAAATGGAGTTGGTAACCTTGGTGTGATCTAGGGCTACAAGGACAGTATTTACAAGTTTACGTTGCATTTGACTGTTCCCTTGCTTTCTGCAGTTATCTTTTGTAAATCTTCAAACTGTACAAAATAACAGCCTACACTTATGGTTGATGGCTGCTCAAAACGCAATCCTCAATGATAATAGTTGGTACACGTATTATATTAATGTACAGTATAATAAAGGAAAAAATTGCTTACTAAAGAATATATATAGGTATCTGCCAAACTCGAATATCTGTGAGCTCATTTCGTTCTGTAGTTTCTTTGGAAGCTCTTCAAGTGTAAAGATTTCTGACGTTTCCGAGTTAGAGAAACTGTTCAAGATATTTTGGGGGTTCCGCCAAGTGCTTTAAACTACATTTCCTGGAACTTTCATTAATCATTTTTTAGTTAATTTTGGTTAGTTTATTTGTTGTTTTCAGTTAGATTAGTATGGGCTATTATTGTGTATTTTGACTGACAAGGTTAATCAAACTTTTTATTTTAATCCCAGCGCAAAACAAATTACGGTTTCTGAGCATACAACAAATTTTAAAGCATATACGGTACAATGAAATTCTGCAAGATATCCATAACTACAATTAGATCCCTAAAGAGCTCTCCATTCGTCACGATTACACATTATGTAGCCATTTTCCATAATCGAACCGAACCATTTGATACCCAACTCCAGACGGTATCCGAGGTACAAGTCATGTCTGGAGGCGGCTTTGGCGCTGCTCACAGATGAGTCAAGGCAATACTAAGTTGCGGCGGACGTTGTGCCAAACTAGTTTAAGACAATTTATACTCGCGGGAGCGCGGGCGACCTTGGATACGGTGTCATAGGCCCCTCAAGGATAGACCCGTGGTCTGCCCGCGTCCCAGCTCCACTCTACACGTGTCCGCCGGGCCAACCGGAAGTGCCATCCTCGGCCATCGGTTGACATAGTTCAAGTTGAAGGCTCAAGCTCATGGACAAAGAGTTGCAGAAATAGTTCTCCAAGAATGCGAGGTTTCATGATCTGGTGATGATCAGAAGCTATTGATTTAGGCAGTTTCAGTAGATACAATTATCTTCACTAAAAAGACTGCACTTCTGCTTTTCTGTACACTTCACTTAGCAGCAACTAGAAGTGCCACCCTTAAGGTATTGCATGTTTACGGGGCTGAAGGGTGGAGGTTGATATGGTAAGTTCGTGGATGAAGGTGCACTGTCAAAACAGTTTTCTCTGAATGGGAGGTTTCTTGTTCTGATGTCCATGGTAAACAGAAACCGTAGAGTGGTCACAACTCTCTTCAATGCAATATTTTTTATATGATTTTTTAATAGAATTGTTTCCACTCTAGAACCTAAATAAATGGTTCCATTAAACAATCAATCTTCCAATCGGGCAGAAGTAACAAGGAAATAACAAATAGACAATTCAGGCAATGCTGTCTTGACAAACCCAACAATTGATAGGAGCAACTTCACACACCGCATTATTTTATTTCAAAATTTGAATCATTGAAGAGCCTTCGATAACAATGGATGAGAGAGAAAAGATAGGAACTTTCTATCCATCATCTTACCAGATTTGAGTTATTAATTTAATTGCCAAATATGTAGTTGTTGTTATTACAATTGTTTGTTATTACAATACAATCTTTGTTATTACACATGTTGGAGGAAATTTCAAGAACCCAAACAACAAAATACTACATAAAACAGACATGTCTTGGACACACGGCGAAGTCTCAGAACTCTATTTGATTAAGATTTTTTTAGTTAATTATACCACAATAACTATGTAAGAGATTTCAAGTAG